CTCTGTCTCAAATAAATAAATAAAATCTTAAAAAAAAAAAAGAAAATATCGAGTTTTTCTGAACTCAAACAAAATAAACTCAGTTACTAAAAAAATTTTAAACCTGGTAAATCCTTAGGTTATTAATGAGGCCATTATTAAAAGGAGAAAAATACGTAGGTGATATATAATTATACATGAGCATAAACATATATGGTAATCATAATATCTAATCATCTGAACTACAAAATCAAAGATTTGTGCATTCACAAAGGAAGTTATCAACAAGATAAATGCAAAAGGTACAGGGAAACACTAAATAATACCCCTCAAGGTATTAAGGCTTATTAAGTGCTAATAATATAATACTCCCTTGGCAAGTAATGGATCCGCTAACCAGCTTAATCATTACCTGGTTACTGTTTCACCCCTTCAACTTATTGCTATGCTGTGAGAACCAGCAGAATAACTGAATACTCAGCTTTAAATGAGGCAGTGCACAATAAGAGAAAAAGCATTTGGCTCAAGATCAGGTGATCTGTTTGATTCTTGGCTCTGTCCTTACCTAGCAGTTAACCTGGATAATTAAGTTCGTTTTCTCATTTGCAAAGCAGTGGGTCTGGACTGAATGGCCACTAAAGCCCTTCTATCTCTGATTTGATGACTATGGACATAATGAGAGGGGCTGACCAAAGCTCCCAGGAACAGTCTCTGCCCTTCCTTATCACTGAAAACATGTGATATGTTCCAGTTTCTTCTCTTCCCTCCTGTAATGGTGATGCAAACCATCCAGTGAGAGACATTCCATTGTATTGCATAATAAGCACGGTGCAAAGATGCCCACAAATTGTCAAAAATTATTCTACCCCATGAGGATAAACCAAAATAATTTCTCCCCGTGAATTCAGTGGACACATGTTGGGAGAAGAGGGACCATAAGAGTCTTCATATGTGAAATAAATGGCAATGTGGAGAACATGAGTGAAGTAATATGTAATAGAAAATCTTTTTAAAAAAAAATCCCCGCTCACATGGTTTTTGCTTTGAAATGCTATTTCCTGTCTTTTAATAATTTTGGTTTGAGAGGTTGGAGCAAATAAACCAATGTGCTTTAAAACTGTGGGTCAACAAGTGCACAGTGACTTCAATGGCAATATTTTTATGTGGGCTTTTTTTTTTTGTCCCTACCCAGATAAGAGGTTGAATTTTTATTCTTCCAGAAACTTATCGTTAAAATAAAATTTCCAAACCACATGGGCTCATTTCTGATGCCCCCAAATAAACTGAACCAAAGTCACAGAGTTCTCCTTGATTTTTACTAATTAGGCTTAGAGCCAGAGGTCTACAGTTGGATACAATTTATCTTTTATGCCAACGTTTGGAATAAAAAAGGCAATATTTTCAATTTTCTTTTGAATTTTTTTCTCCCTAACAAGAAAGCACACTGAAATTAAATAAAACTAAGTATTTTTTAATATGCTGTCACTGTATCTATACAAAAAACCTTCATCTATGGATAGGACAGGCCAGATCATTTGGGTGTTGCCCATTATATATGGCAGGCAACTGAGAAGCACCCCCTGTGATCGGTAAGGCAAGGGTCAACCAAACTAATTCGATCACGAGAAAGAATACTTGGCAATTAGAGGAAACCTGAGGCACCTCACAAGCAGTTGAACCTACAGTCAGGAAAGTACAGAATGTTTCAATGTCTGGAGTTCACGACCTGCTCCTCTTCAACAAGGCAATACAACAAATGATTACTGATAAACTGAAAATCAGCACTAACATGCACCATTTTATTTCCTTCACATGTTCCCAACAGGAAAGGATGTAACATTTATTAAGTGCCTACAGTATGCCAAGGATATGTGGTCGTTTGATTGTAGACAGTCAATAAATATTTGCTATCTGGATAAAATTAGACATAAAGTCCAGAGTTTCTCTCTTACCATTCTCTTTTAGGCAGAGTATCAAAAATAAAATCACGAAACTCACTACAAGGTGTTAAACTTTGATTTCTGTTGTTTCTCATTTTACTAGTGTATTAACAGAGTTTTCTATAGAGGCTGGAAAGATATTAATAACCATTATAGACAGAGCTATTATTTAGTCATACTAAAATTACTTGCCTTTTCTGGCAATCTAATAATTTACAATAATGACTGCTCTTCATTTGTAGTAATTAATGGCTTTTTTCAATTTAATCAAGATTACTGCAGTCACGAGGATTTTAACAATTTTAGAACCAGTGGGTGCCTTTACTTTAGTGACTCCACTGTCTTCGTTAAAAATGAAAAAAGAAAACATGCAACAGAAAGAAACATACCAGGATGTGTATATGGATTACCTCTGAGTTGTGGAATTAAGCATGATTTTTATTTCCTTTTGAATCTTTTCTGTATTTTCAAAATTCTCTAGTATTACTTGAGTGGTCATAAAAGTTATTTTTAAAAGATAATAGAGAATAGAACCACGGGAACAAGGAAAATTAAGACGGAAGGCAGCCGTGAATCTCCTCTTCTCCAGAATGCAGCTGCTTACGCCTCCAACTAAACTTTCTAGGCATGGGTGGGCGAGGGAATGGGGAACAGACAGAAGCAGACACCTGATAATCCCCCACCCCACCTAATGAAAAAGGACAGAGGTTAAGCCATTTGAGCTCTGCTCCTCTCTTCAGGCATCTTTATACATCACTTGAAGAGACAGCATCTAGATCTTCAGGAGAATGAAGAGAAACTAACGTGCCATGGAGAGAAAATCTGGAAAGCGTGAACGTCTGCTTCCCTTGTAAGAGCTTTAAATCTGCTCTAAATCTAACTTCTGAGGGTGGATCCAAGAATTTTTTGTTCCAGTTTTAACGTAACTAAAGACTAAATGTAAAAGTGGAATTGGTTCCTTTTTACAAATAGAAGAAGGGGAACAGAAATAGACTGTGAGGGCATGACTATGATTCTTACAGAATTTAATTTCATGGCCATATTCCGCAAATGCATGGAGAGTGTTAAACACGCCCACCATTACTGAACATTACACATGCACCCGGACCAGCTAAATCTCTTCAGAAATTGAGGACCACGGAGCTTCATACATTTTTGAAGTCGTATTTTCCCATATGGACAATGCTGGTTCGGAGATTTTAAATGAGCTTTCATGCAAAACTAAGCAGATCAAAATGATACTATTTCTATATGTATTTTTCCTACCTGCAGGGAAAAAAAAATCATGATAATTATTTATAAAATAAATAAATAAAATAAAATAAATATAAAATATAAATAAAATAAAATAAATATAAAAATAAAACCATTAGTGGTACCATGAAAAGGAAGAAGCTGATGTATGATGTCACCGGGATCCACCCTTTGTTCTAGTAACTCCGGTTTCTCAGGTACAAGGCTATAGATGCTGTAGTAAGCCTACTGCAACTGATGCCTTTTTTAGATCTTTGAAAATCGTATGAGGGCTTGGGAATGGGAGGAATAATGAGAAAGTGATTATATAACCCAATGTAATGGAAGACAATGGGCCTGAGACTGGGCATTTGGGTCCTGGTCCCAACCCTGTGTCTGGTTACCTGGGTCCCAGCCCTGTGTCTGGTTACCTGAGTTACTATAGGATGTCACCTGATTTCAAGGCCTAGGTATTCTCATCTGCAAAATGAGGGTGGTTCTAGATGGCTATTGAGACTCCTTCTAATTCTAAAATTCTAGGGGTGCCTGGGTGGCTCAGTTCGCCGAGCATCTGACTCTTGATTCCAGCTCAGGTCACGATCTCAGGGTCATGGGATTGAGCCCTGAGTCGGGCTTCATGCTCAGCACGAAGTCTGCTTGAGATTCTCTCTCCCCCTCTGCCCCCCCCTCTGCTCACTCTCCCTAAATAAAAAAATAAATAAATACATAAATAAATACATAAATAAATAAAATCTTTTTAAAAAATAAGAAAAAAATAAAATTCTAATTTCTCTCCATCTGATGGCTGATTAAAACAAAGTCCAGATCGTTCATGTTCTCTTTGAAGAATTAAAGTTCTGTGAAGATTTTCAACTTCTTCCTAATCAAAAGTGTGTTTAAACAGAGCATAGAAGACTGCCATCCCCCTCTGGCGGGACTCAAATATTGAGGAACGACTAGAGTCTCACGACAGCCAAAAAGATTGTATCTATTAGAAAACTGGCATAGCATAGACAAACTGTAAAATGATTAACATATGTGATTATGGAAAAAGAAGGTTTAAAGGAAAGAAAGGAAACTGGAAGGAAGGAAACTGGTATATTTACTTCTTCCTAACCTCAGTTCCAAACTAAGGGGAAATTCAAACATTTTTCTTTCGATAACGTCATTCTAGAATCCTTAATTCTGCAGTAACATGAATTATATATTTGAATGGCAAAAAAAGATAATCTGATGTGTCTCCTTTCAAATCTATTAAGTTCTTATATCGGCACCACTGAAAGAGTACCAACAAATTCAGTATGTAATGAATTGAAACTGAAATCACACAAACCCTTGGGTCCTTCATCCTTAGGGGGGTGAAGGTTCCTAACTGGATCCCGGATGCTGCAATCTGTCCCTGCCCAGGTGAAATCACAGATGCAGGTGGCTTCATTACTACACACCTGTGAAGAACAAAGAACAGAGATGGCACATTTTCACTGCGCTTTTCTGAATCTTGGAGATAAATGTAAAAGAGACACGGGGCAGGGCGGAAACTTTTAAAAACCTCTTTGAATTTTTTAGGTCTCCCATGGTTGACAAGGAGAGACAATGATACATTAAATTGTTGAATGGTGTTTTCTTGTTAATTAGAGAGAGAGATCCATTAAAAAAAGAAAACTTTTAATTAAATGTTAATTGCTTATGTTGAAAAAATTACTTAAGTGCACAAATGTCTGGCGCTGTAGTTTTTTCAGAAGTAGTTGTTTCTAAGGAACATACTTTAGAAACATGCTTAATTCAAGAAATTAATAGACACTGGGCTCCAGGGGCAAGGCCAGTGATTAAAGACCAGAAGACATAAATCACCAATGCACTGTTTTACCTCACCATGTCCAATATCACTTTTGTTTGGTAGCATTGTCCCGGACAAAAGAGCACCCTGCCCACCTCCCCTTCTCTTAGTCAGCCAGGCTGAAGACCCCCTAGCATGATGTTTGTCTCCTTTTGCTTGTCCTGGAGACCAAGCAGCATGCTGGAATGGGCTTGTAGTTTTATGAAATAAACCACCATCTGCAAACCAGAGACAGAGGTGTTTAAACTCTTATCTGCCTGTGAGATACATCCAGAGACTGATCATTAGGGATAATAAATTGAATACAAGCTTATTGCTGTAAGAAGCTTTTTAATCTGAAATGTTATAATATCACGATTACGATTAACGATGCTGAATTTGACCTTTTATTTAACAGGATGAAAAAGTGGGAGGGGTAGTAGGAACGAAGGGCCTTTGTAGGCGTTAAGTTTTATGATGTTTTCCGAGCAATAACTGAAAGGTCTGTCCGGTGTTTTTATTTTAACATAGTGATTATTGCACATTGACTATGCCAAGCGCTTTATGTAAAGCATTTAATTTAATCCTCACACTAGCAGCCTGGTGGCTGAGAGAGGGTAAGTGACTTACCCAAAGTCACCAGGAGAGCAAGAAGCAGAGCCAGGACTCAAACCCATGGCTCTTTCTAGCCTCCAAATCCATGCTCTAAATCACTAAGCTATATTGGCTCCACTTATAAGCCTAGGATTCAACCAAACCCAAAATTCTAAATAGTCACTGGGCATGTCTTTCTTAGGCCTCTCTACCTTGTTCTACTCCACATCATCTGCTAGCTATATTCTGAATTAGGTTTACCTTCACTCCAGCATCCTCCTTTTACATTATCACTCTCAATTTCCCCATGTCTCTTTTTTTCCGTTTCTAAATTCTATATAAATTTTTGAAATATCTTTTTTTACTAAGCCAATTTAAATAATTATTAAAATTTGTTTCTAGATATTAAGCCTAGGTTTGCCAGGAAGCGTCTGCCCAACCACTTCATAGAATGGAGTGTATTGTAATTCATTCAACTAGAAATGTAGTTCATAGAATTACAATTACATGCAGGTGTGAGTAGAGAAAGCATCTTCTCTTCAGCTGGCAATGGTCTGAGCATAACCATACGACTTGAAACATGTGAATTCTATCAGTGATCCAACCCCTAGTCTATGTGATCTGGCACATACAGATGCTCAGTATACGTGCTGAGTGGCTAAAAGGGGGTTACTGAGGGGACTAAAGTTATTTTGAATGGTACAAAGTAATGCATAGGGGGTCTATAACTCTTTTAGGAACCGTATCAATTTTCTTCCAACTCTTTAGATGTCAAGCTATAGACAACGTGGCAGATACAATAGCCAGTGATAAAAGAAACAACAAAATAAAACCATATCAATACATATGGGTACTATCCTTAGCAGATAAGGATACTAAGGAAATCATCATTGTCAGGGCATAAATACTGGCAACACTCACAAAAGGAAAATGGCTGGCATGAAAGTCTGACCACTGTGAACTTTCAGGATGCCAGACAATAAAGGTTTGAACCGGAACACAGATGCTTACTTACCCCATGGCCTGAACAGACTTTACCCTTGGAATCAAGTGGGCAGCTACTCATATTCAGGGCCTGAATCTGTAGGCACTTCCGATCTAAACACATCATGGATGGACCACACGGCGTTCCATCTTCTACATAGCCCACATCTGTATCATCATCTAAAATCACATGAGCACCACTGAAAGGAGAAAGATATTCATACAACCATTAGCACCGTAGTTAGAAAGAAAAGTCAACATGAATGAGGCTTGCTCTTCATGAAACTAAAGAGGCTGTCAGTGTACATGGATGGCTCCTAGCATTTCTCCACTTCTACCTTCCTTTCCTTTTCCCCCACTTTCCCAAAATAAAAGAGCACGTTGACAGGAAATACCTTTCATTGTCATTATTATATTGCATGCCATCAAGAAAAACTGTCATTTATTCCAGGAAGGGTCTAACTTGTCTAAGACGAGTTAGAATTGTCTTCAGAACAATTTAAAAGAAAAACACAGGGGATCCTGGGTGGCTCAGGTGGTTAAGTGTCTGACTCTTGGTTTCGGCTCAGGTCATGATCTCATGGGTCGTGAGACTGAGCCCAGCATCAACTGGCTCCGTGCTCAGCGGGGAATCTGCTTGAAGATTCTCTCCCTCTGCCCCTCCCCCAATGTGCATGCTCTCTATCTTTCAAACAAATAAATGTCTTTTTAAAAAAATAAAAGAAAAATACAGCAATCATTTGACCAAGAGAACATTATTCAACCTGTTTACCCAATAAATTTCCTAAATTTTGTTCAAAAATTTTTGCATTTTTCCAAATCTCATATTCACTCACATAAGATGAAGGTCTGCTAATCTAAGGATACTACAGATAAAAGTTTGCAGATGCTAATGGCAATTCTGTAAAAGAATCCCAGAAGTGTTTCAGGCAACAACAGTACCATCTGAATGAAAACGTAGCATCTTAGAATTATGACTACTTTGAAAGGAACAATACTTATTTGGAATATAACATGACTCCCTAGATTAAAAAATAAGCCTCATAATCTCTGTGCCTTGTACTCACAGATAATTGGGACACCAAATGCTTGCCTACAGTATAAATAATATTTTAATAAATACGTTCTGTATGTGATTGACTATTAAACCATCTTCTAAGCCAGAAATATGTTACACAAAGTAAAGCTTAAACTTTTTTTTTGTCATAAAAAATGAAACACATAGTGTTCAAATAGTGACCTATTCCAATGCTCAAAGCTTTAATCATGGGTCAAAATGGATACTGTGAGTCTACTCAATGATCATCATTACAAAGAATGTCCATTACTAATAAGTGGCCTGATTTTTGAGCAAATGTAATTTGCAAATAAATATACAACTTTGTTTTTTTAAAATAACTCTAAACGTGAAAGGAGATCATAAAATCAAAGTCAACATTCCTCTTGTGAGAAATAGAAAAATTTCGCTTGATTTTTCTGAATTTGTAGTTCTCGTGATTCATTAGGTTTTCAAACATTTAATATATTACCTGCAGTCAATCACTCGGCCTTGATGATAGAAGGAAGTTGGGATGATCTCACCCTGGAGTTGACCAATACGTGGAGCTCGAGTAAGATTGGTACAGAGTAAAAACCCACAGAACACATCACTGAGCATGTTAAATAAAAACAGAAACAGAACAGGACAGGAGGAATCAAGCTCAACATAATCAAAACTATTCAGTCCACATATATTCAAAAATTGAAAATATTTTCTCTCCTCCTAAATAAAAACGTGTGTTCAGATATTGTTGGTTGGCTATGACCCCCATCCTTCCTTGCTAACAGGATCACAGTTTGTCTGGGTAGCAACATACCCAGCCCCGAGGGATTGATCATGACTGGTCGAAGCCAGTCGTGGCACCCCCGGACCCCTATAACCACTTTCCTAGCCATCCCACTGTCCTGCCTCAAAGGACACTAGAGCTCAAAGTGGCCGCTGGATGTTGAGATGTGAGGAAAAGCCAGCTAGGAAGTTGCTGGGGAGAATGTTACTTTCTGGACAAGAGGTTAGAGGCTGACGGGGAGAAAACCTTTTGTTCCGACTCCCACACTGCCTGCCTTTGCATGTGCGGCCTTGGCATCCACCTTGCCATAGCGAGCTCCCCAGCAGCAGGATACACACTCATCATGCTAAGCATTCCAGAGCACAGGGGAGAAATCATCTGGGTCCTTAGTCACACTGTTAAATGACTCAGCCCCCATGAAAGCAGCTATCGCCATCCTCTCTGTTAAGTAAACAATGAGCTCCCCCTTAAAAAAGGTCAAGGAATTGAAATGGCACAACAAAAAAAAAAGAGAGAGAGAGATCCATGTCCAATAAATGCATGAAAATGTACTAAGTTCCACTGGTAATCAAGGAAATGCAAATTAAAACCACAATAATATAGCAGTTTATACCCACCAGAATGGAGAAAAGTAAAAAGTCTGATAATACCAAGTGCTGGTTCAGTATGTGATTCCACAAAATTCTCATATGCATATTATTGATGGTTGAGTTTGCTAGCACACCCATTTTAGAAAATCGTGACATCATCTGGTGGCACTGAAAATACACATACCCTCTGACCTAGCAATTTTTCTTCTAGGTATAGGACTTAGAAGAGTGTCCACGAATGTGCACTAAGTTACATGTACAAGAATACCCATGGCCCCGTCGTTCCTAACAGCCAACACACGGAAACAACCTAAATGACCATTAACGCAGAGTGGAGAGCTACATCATGGTATGTGAGCATGAATACAAATGATAGTAAAACCAATGAACAATAAATATGAAGAGTGACACACACCATGCAAGATGCTTAAAATGCTGAACTTAAGAGGCAAAATACAAAATAATACATGAAGTATGATTCCCAAATGCTATACCAAACTTTTAGGTAAAATGTATTGTTTAGGGAGGAAAACCGAGGCAGCCAAACTCTAAAAGGCAAGAAAGTAATTGTCACAAAAGTCAGGATGATAGTACCTCCAGGAGCAAGATGAGGGCACCTTGTGGGGAAAGATACATTTTCTGGGATGCTGCGAGTTCTGTTTCTTGATTCAGGTAGGGGGTGACATAGGAGGTCATGTAATAATTATTTGGCAAACTGTATATTTGTGTATTATTCACGTTTCTGCTTATATGTTGCATCTCCCAATTTTTGAACGTTTCAGAAAACACGCATTAATTTTCTTTAACTCAGTGGTGGTTGGATATTCTGTTACTAGATAGTCAAAAGCTATCTTTTATACAATGATCCAATCCAATGCCTCCCAAACTTTTTGAAGGGACAAAGACACAGAGAAATGATCAGGTTTGTCTAGGACATTAAGCTAATGAATGAAGCTAATGAAATCCAGGTGTCCAACCACATGGATTTTTAATACTTTAGGCCCCACTTCCTCCTGGTCTCTGTTACCTCAGAAAGAGGATCAATATTTTGGAACATCTGTGCCTCACTCGTGAGACATGAGGTGGGAAGTTCTGTTCTATTATTTTGGTTTAATTTTAAAGAAACTATGGTCAAAGATTTGTTGCCTCGTCAGCCTCATCCACCATCAAAGGCTGCATGCAAAAGCAAAGTTTCATGAAACACAACAGAGAGATCATTAACTAGAAAAATGAAACTTCTTTAAATCCTTGCTCTGCTTCAGAATTGTGAGAATCCTCATTGTTATGGAAGGGTAATGAAGGAAATTTGGCCCATAACTTGATGGTCTCATAGGTCCATGTCATTGAGTTAACCTTAATAAACTATTAAATCACAATTTTAATGTTCCTCGACTAATCCAGGGAAAATATTACCAACGTACTCTGAAAATATGTCATTTCCTGAGTAAAGATGCCTCCGGAATGCACTAACTAGATGCTTTATAGAAGGGGGAAAAAATCTGATATGGACATTAGATGTTTAATTAAATCAAATGGTATTGCACTCATGGAAAAATCAAAAATATATATTACTTCATTTTGAATTGTCCCCCAAATATATACAGTCTACATATTTTGCTTGTAGAGTTCTGTGTATAGTAGGACATTCATAGGCCATATGTTCCAGCAAAAGTAGAAAATTAAGACCTAATAGCACTTTATAATACCTTAGCAACGTGTCTTTTCAAAATAAGCATCAAGTAAAATACAACATATGAGACATGTTCTGAAGTTTACAGAAATGTTGTGAGTCTATACCACAGTTAACAGTTTGGTCCACAGCAATTTGCTTCTAGATATACTAACGTATTTTTTTGAAATACATACTGTAAAATTTTAAATAGTTGAGTATTTATTAAAAATCAGTAACATTTATTTCGTGCTCAATTTACATTTGAATCAGGGCTTCCAAATCACTCATCGTGCCCCCAAAGCTGACCACTCACTGTTTGCTGCACTGGATCCATCGGTCTCCGTCCCTCCCGCAGTTTCCCTTCTCAGTGCCTTCTGTGTTTAGCTTTTCATAACAGAACTTGTCAGACCCGGAAGCCTCTTTTGGAGAAGAGCACAGGAAGACAATGTGTTTTAGCTGTCTTTGTTATGCACAACCAGCAGCACCAAAGGTAAATGTTTAACAACTGGTTCTCCAGAAAAAGAAAAAAAGAAAAAAATCCCCACTCTTAGCATTTGCCAATTTCCATGGTGTAAATACCATCGTGTCAATTTCCATGGTGTAACACATGGCTAATTTCAAGCTATCAATGTGATGGCAACAGGCTTCTGAAATTCCTCAAAACCTCACACTTGGCTCTTGCAAGCTACTCCAAGACAGCTCCCACACACTGCTGTTTTTAACTTGAGAAACAAACTGATTTCAATTCTTGTTGGTGGGTTTGAGGGAGAGAGGGAGGGAGGGAGGAAGGGTCATCAGCAGGAATTAGGGAAGTGGCACTTAGAAAACGAAGAAAGATTCTTAGGCCTGTTTTATACAAGTATTAAAAGATACTATAAAATCTTAGGCAATTAAGATTTTATGTCGACACTTGGGTTTTGGTATTTAAACCTTTTAAAAGACAAATATGCCTCTATTATCTTTCCTCTTTCAAAACTGAAGCACTGACAGTAAATCTTTCAGTTACATGATATTTGCCAAACACTGAAATCACTCCTGCAGGCGCTCTGTTATCTCGTGTGCTTTTCTTTTCTCCCGTGACCCAGTCTCAGCCAGCAAGACAGACCCATTTCTCTCTGCTGTGGTCTGGCCCCCATGAACTGAAGATTAAAAGGACAGGCACTGTAAACGTCAGGAAGAGAGTATGTGCATTGGGGCGCCTGGGTGGCTCAGTCAGTTAAGCATCTGCCTTCAGCTCAGGTCATGATCCCGGGGTCCTGGGATTGAGCCCCTTGTCATCAAGGCTCCCTGCTTAGCAGAGTCTGCTTCTCCCTTCCCCTCACCCCTGCTCATGCTCGCTTGCTCTCTCTCTCTCTCAAATAAATTTTTTTAAAAATCTTAAAATCTTTAAAAAAAAAAAACATTTAGGGACTGTACTGAGAGCCAGGACCATGTACCCAAATCTCTGGGTCTGCACCTCAGGAAGGACCTGCATTTCTTCCTTTCAAATTGAGATGATAAAACTACAGAATTTTTAAAAGTAAGTCTGGTACTTCCCTGAGGTAAAGGAACAAAAGGCTAACCTGAGGGATAGTGGTTAAACCCAAGGTACAGAATGAGAGTGATTCACACAAGTGGCTAGATAATAATGTGACAGCCACACTGAACCCAATCTTTGCAGGTGCATGTGACATCCCCTCTCTGACAGCCCCATCACTGTGTGACACGGCTTGGTTCTGATGACAAGTCCCCAGCTTCAACAGCTCTTTTCTGTGGTTTTTGTGACTGAGATTCACAGTTCTCTTTATTCTCACCCTTTTCTGGATTTTTTTAAAAACCATCACTTCAGGGGCGCCTGGGTGATGCAGTCAGTTAAGCATCCAACTCTTGGTTTCAGCTCAAGTCGTGATCTCGGGGTCGTGGGATTGAGTCCCGCATGGGGCTCCCTGCTCAGCATGGAGTCTGCTTGAGACCCTCTCTCCCTCTCTCTCTGCCCCTCCCCACTTTCTCTCTCTCTAAAATAAATAAATAAATCTTAAAAAAATACAATAAAATAAAAACATCACTCCAAGCTATCCATGCCTTCAGCGACACTGGCAGAGCAGGATAATACCCAGAGAAACCGTGTGCAATCACCAAGCAGGAAAACGCGACTTACTTGTCCCCCACACGTGCTGACATTGGTTGTCCCGGGTCTTGCACTCCCCATTGTAACAGCGGCCCTGGGGACAGGGACACACGTTAGGAGGCCCATGCAGCCAGTTCCCTTGTCCCCAGATCTGCACTGCAAGGTCTCCTTTTGTTGTTATTTGGATTAGTTGATTTGTTTTTTCACTCCATACCCCAATATTTTCACAGTGAAAATAAAAATCACAAACATCTTAAGGGAAGCACAACAGACAGTTAAATTCTGAAACTCAGAACAGACCTCAGAGTACAGCTCTTTAAGTCAAAACTAATCCCCTAAAATTCTAAATTTTATGGAAAACAAACGTTGGTACACTTCCTTGGGCGATTCCAAAATGATTTTTAGCTTCTTTGGGGTATGAATGTTACATTATAACATGGCTTCAGAAAAGACAAAACCCACATCATCACATACGATAGCACATTATAACAGTCATATTTTCCCATTAGAGGCTGATGTTATTGAAAGATGGTCACAACTCAGTAAATTAGATTCCTAATTCTTTAGTCATTATATTTTTTCTTTGCCCTCAATCTGGACAATTTGTCACCAGAGTTAAATATCATACTAGATTTAGTATTTAATATGCCATGAAGCAACACGGAATTAGAAGTCCATTGCAATAATGTATGGTTCTTTGAGTTGCGATTTCCCTTTGAAGATATATTCATCGGAAAGGAAAAAAAAAAAGAAACCTCACAAACTAGTCCTTTTAAAATTAGATTGAAAACTTAGAGCCCAGCATACCTGATTTTGATTGCATGCATATCCATCTTGTTTATGAAGGTTTGGTGGGCACTGAAAAATACAATGTTTTTCATTAATGTTCAACATAAGTACCTTCACCTTATGTGTATAACATATAAATATGCAAAAAAAAAAAAGCAAGCATGGTGACTATATAATTGGGAATGTCTAGAAAAACATGAGTAACCCCTTAAGTAGGTTATCCAAACTACTTCTTCTATTATTGGTAAAAATAATAAATTCATCCATGCAGTGAGTACTTTTTACTTCTCCGTTTTCCCTGAGGTGGACTAAAGTAGGAAATTACATTCACTTGCTTACAGAGTCAAAAGTAGAAGGAATTAAAACGGACAATGAAGGGCATGAATCAGCTTGTTATGTAGGAGTGGACACATTTGGGAACTAACTCACAGGACCTTTCTCAGCCCTGGGAAGTGTCAAATCTGCATTCGACACCCCTGACGCTCACCTCTAGGCCACATTATTGAAAAAGAAGAAATAGTCTCTCAACTCAATGTGAGTGCTGCATCTCCAGTATGTCCCTGACCTCTCCAACTACAGACATGCTACTAGAACAATTGTGATGGGATGGTTATTTCTTTTTCCAGGTCTGTTTATCAAGTCATTGTTTAAAAGTACACTTCATTTCCCCAAAAAGTTACTCTGAATGAACTAAAACTTTTACTCTCGGGGCACCTGGGTGGCTCAGTTGGTTAAGCGACTGCCTTCGGCTCGGGTCATGATCCTGGAGTCCCGGGATCGAGTCCCGCATCGGGCTCCCTGCTCGGCAGGGGGTCTGCTTCTCCTTCTGACCCTCTTCCCTCTCGTGCTCTCTGTCTCCCATTCTCTCTCTCAGATAAATAAATAAAATCTTAAAAAAAAAACAAAACTTTTACTCTCTATGCATTTTATTTGCCACATTTGCGAGAGCTGAAAACGGTTCAAGTCAAAGGCTCTAGTACAGTGTTCAAAGCAAATATGCAAAGAAAAAGCAATATACAGGGAAAGCAAGTGAGTAAGAAACGGTCTTCGCCTTCTCAGTAAAGGACTGTTCCGCTTTTCCCATTGGTCAGGTCCCAAACCATGAAGTTATCCTCTGTCTCTCCTTCTCTCACACCCTCCTTCCAGTCTGTCAACCAATCCTACTAGGCCTACCTTCAAACTAGAATCACAATCTGACCACTTTCCTCCATCTCCACTGCCAACCCCCAGTCCAATCCGCCATCATCCCTCACCTGAATTATGCAGCAGCCTCCAACTGATTGCCCTGCTTCCATCCCTATTCAGCTACTGGAGTATCCTTCTAAACACGTAAATCCCATCGTGTTGCTCCTCTGCTCGATGGCTTCCCAACATACTCAATGGACGTCAAAGTTCAACACAATCCGCACTTTGCTGTCCCCCCAACTCCATCCTCTCTCTGACCTCATCCCTGCTCTGCCATGCCTGAGCTGACTCTCTGCCAACGTGCCAGGCATGCTTCCCACCCCATGGCTTTGCCCTTGCCTTTCCTTCGATCTTCCCCCAGGTTTCTGCACAGTTTGCTCTCAAAAACTGTAAGACCTCCCATGGTGGCATTCTCCATTCCCCATTTCCTGGTGTTTTCCTTCCCCGTAGAACTTATCACCTCATATTCATATACGTTACTTATTTGTTTGTCTATTGCCCCCATCCCACACACGCAGGGGTTGTATGCGTGATTCCCTGCTGCCACCCTCGCAGCTGGAACAAAACCGGACTCAATTATTATTGAGTAAGTGCTCAATTACTATTGGCTAACTGGATAAATAAATGAATGACCCATGCAGACACAATCAAGTTACTCTGTTCTGGGGCGCCTGGGTGGCTCAGTTGGTTAAGCATCTGCCTTCGGCTCAGGTCATGATCTCAGGGTCCTGGGATGGAGCCCCCGCATCAGGCTCCCTGCTCAGCAGGAAGTCTGCTTCTCCTTCTCCCTCTGACCCTCCCCCGCCTCACTTGTGCTCTCTCTCAAATAAATAAATAAAATCTTTTTTTAAAAAGTTACTCTGTTCTGCACATCTCAAGCTGTTTATCAAGTTCACTACAGAAAGGTAATAGAACTAATTTAGAATTCGCAATTGCTAAGAAGCACTAACTTAAAAGGAACACTTTGAGATAAAATGCTTTGGTTCTATATCTTTCTAAAGAATAACTAACTTTCATATAAGCCTTCATTCACTATAGCTTTTCAATCAATCGGATGATGACCACTCAAAGGACATAAATTATCAGCGCCAAAACCTGGCCTACTTGGGCCAGTAGCATAGAAACAGATCCTCGTGGGCCCCTTCATCCACCCAAATCCAGTCCAGATGCAATCAGTATCTTATTAATCAACTAACAGTAATTATTCACTTACTCCGAGATGAATACAATCACATCGAACAAAAATGCAAAAGAAATGTTGGTACTAGAATAGGTATATCAGGGTCTAAAATTAACTTATCACAGTTGACTTTTGTGATGTTTCAATAAAAAAATTTTTTGTAGAACTCTTTACTAATTAAAAAAAAAAAAAGCCCTGATTATAAACTGTTACAGCTACATGCAAGATTTCTTTTATTTTTTTTTATTTTTTAAAGATTTTATTTATTTTTCAACAGAGAGAGAGACAGCAAGAGAGGGAACACAAGCAGGGGGAGTGGGAGAGGCAGAAGCAGGCTTCCCGCGGAGCAGGGAGCCCAATGCGGGGCTCGATCCCAGGACCCTGGGACCATGACCTGAGCCGAAGGCAGGCGCTTAAGGACTGAGCCACCCAGGCGCCCTACAGGCAAGATTTCTAATCAATTTATTTTTAGTTTAGGCTAATAAAAGCAAGTTGCTTATCACTGAAATGTTTAACATGGGGAATTATGGAATGTCTTACATTCTCTGGGGACATTTAAAACAGAAGAACCATACCGCTCGCTTCGGCAGCACATATACTAAAACAGAAGAACCATAAATCTGTGTGCTTTATTCTACCTGTGAGTAGAGCTCTAGATTCGGTCTCTAAATGCCCTCCCAGCCCCCAGTTTCAGGCTGTGCAGGAAAGTTCACAGGAGGCAGCCTTCAACAGTGCAGTAGCATTTAAATGTGCTTATTTTTAATTGTGTTAAACCACCCATATAGATGGCATCTTTTATAGCGCCAACAAGATATATTTCCTACATTTTTCAAAAATACCTTTATTATATCATCCAGTATCGTTTGCCAAGGATTTCTCTCAGTTGCACAAGTATTGTTTATTCTGTGATAAACTGTGAATTTAAAAAGTAGCTCAAAGGCATCAGTAAAGGCTAAGATCAAAATTAAGCAAAGACTGAGATACGAGGCATACAGTCATAATGTTGCCAATGATGCTGATTCTCAGAGACGCAGAGATTCTCTGAGATCCCCTTTTTCCTAATCATAATTAGTATCAATTAAATACAAGGCTCACTGCCTGTTACAAAGCAGAAGAATTCTGGGGGATCCTAACTCCCTCTACTCCAATTATCTATTTCAGGCACATTCTGGTCATATAAGGAAATTATTGCTAAAAGAACATGCTATTCTAATATGCCACTTAGAAATTAATTTAACAGCGCAATTTTCACCTTACATACATACATGAGGCAAAAGGAACGTTTTAGGGCACCTGGGTGGTTCAGTCAGTTAAGCGTCCGACTCTTGATTTTGGCTCAGGTCATGGTCTCAGGACCCTGAGATCGAGCCCCACATCAGGCTCCACGCTCAGTGCAGAGTCTGCTTGTCCCTTTCCCTCGCCCCCGCCCCCCTGCTTGCTCTTGCTCACTCCCACTCCCTCTGTCTCAAATAAATAAATAAAATCTTAAAAAAAGAATGTTTTAAAAATTTAGACACTGGAATATTAAGTTGAACATAGAGCCCTCATTATAAAAGCCTTATTTCCAGTAAATTCTATGGCAATTCAAGAATTAAAGGCTGAAATGAAAATACTGTACTTCGAAAAGAGCTGAAACACAGAACCAAAACCATATATGATGGGTATAAGAATAGTAGTATTCTACAAAACTAAAAATATAACTCAGTGAAACAGTATACCAGGATTGTCACAAAACATAAAACTTGGCATAAAACACAAAACCCACAATTCTAACACTCCTTTTACTATATTCTAGGAAAATTGCAAAGAAACCCATTTACATATATAAATAGAAGAAACAGATATGCATAAAAATCAATAAAGAATAGCCTGAACATATTTCACTGTATCACATCCTTAAAAGGGTCCCTTTGAATTGCATCTCAGATAATACACATCAAGAGCTTCCAAAAAGGTTAGTTAGAAACCTTTGTCTCCCTCCCCTCTTGTTTTTTCCCAGTGAAGGGAACTCAGGGTACCTCCAGCTATTTTGCTGCCACACTCCATTCCCCCTGAGGCAGGTAGAGTGACCGAATGACTGACAAACCTGGGAAGAATTACTGGCCCTTTGGCTCGGTTCTGCCATTCTTCTCTTGCCTACTCACATAAATCATACTACTCTCGCTGCTCCTCCAACACATACAAGACAACGGCCCATCTCTGCAAGGAGAAGTCGCTCCAGACCCACTTTGTCAATGACCTGTTCCTACAGCCTGAATCTAGGATCTATAAAGAGCTCATTTAGTTCTCACACTAAGTTATGGCTTCCAACTTGGCCATATTCAATACGAAAAATAGTATTTTGACCGCCAACTGTACTCTATTTATGGGGAGTCCCTTAGAAACCATAATACCTGGCAACAGATAACTCCATTATTTCTGGGCAATTTATCCTAAGGAGCGAATCCTGAATGAGAAATATGCATAAAGAAAAGATGTTCACTGCCGTATTAATTACAATAATGAAAAACCGCCAACAACCTAAATATCCACCACTGGATAACAAGTCACCAGTCAACTGATGAATCCACATGATGGACTCTCGTGCAATTGTAAAAAGGGTATTTATAAAAACTGAGTAATAGTACAGGAACATGTTTTTGAAGTCATGTCAGAGAAAAAATAAAAGTAGAATGAAATCCAAAATTCTTACCTATTCCCTAACTGCCTTGATTCCTGACTTCCTCTTGATTTTTTCCCACTACTCTCCAGTAATCCCCGCTTTCATTCCATTTCTTGAAGAAGCCAAGCTTCCTAACTCGCTGTTTTCTGACTAGCTCCTTCTGTGCTTTTCTACTTAAATGCCAACTCCTCCAGGAAAATACACCTGAGCACCCCACCTAAAGCCCCCCACCCCATATCCCACATCACCTTACATTACCCTTAGCACTTAGCACCACCGGATGTTTTTGTTGACTTATGTCTCCACCTGCAGAATGTAAGTTCCGTAATTGCAAGGACTTGCCTATCTCGTTCCCTACCATATCCCAATATTTATAGCAGTGCTTGGCATACAGCAGGTGCTCAGCAAATGCCCATTTGAATGAAAAATGAAGACTTAAAATAATGTGATATAAATTTTTAAAACATAAAAATTGTATAAAAAAGGAATCCTGGTAGGCAGCATTCATTATGTTATGGTAATTTTTAATGTGAAGAAGACCACACCAAAGCATATGGGGCATGATGCTAGGACAATGTAAGTGGGGGAGAGTTGGAGACAGAACCGAGAGAGGTGGACACCTGCTCCCGATCCCTCTTCAATCAGAGCAATGTTCCTTGTTCTCTGCTATGGTGGGCATCCTACCAATTTTTTCTTAGAAGAAAGGGCTTGGTGGCTTAAAAATGTTTGCAAACAGTACATTAATTCTTCATCAGTGTGAATATACTATTTTAGATGTGGGGACGGAAAGAAAAATCAATTTGCTGGGTAGAAACCATATAAAGGGAACTAATTAGGAAGGGGAAATTTGGAAGAAAAAAGAGATCTAGGTCCAGGAAACACAATAAATGTTCCTAAAATAAAGGCATAGTGGAGATCTAGAAATTACTGGAAAACAAAGTAAAACAAAACAAAAAACAAAGAAACCAAATCATATTCACACATGTAGCCCAATTGAAAGCTTTCCAATGTGTACAATATTTGCAAGTAAAATGTATTATTTAAAAACTCAGTTTGTCATACCTGGCCAGAGTCTCCAGTACAATATTCAGTAATATCACACGCATTCACAGCATCCCGACATTCATACCCTCGTGGCTGAAACTGCAAATCAAAATTCAATATTAGGAGCTAGTGTTAATTAGTATTTCAAATAGCTAGCATTGTTATATTCACCAATAATTCAGGCACTCTCTCATAACCATTACCAAACTCTTTATGAATTAGCAAGATAGTTGCAGAATAGAGACAAGGCCCAGATACCACTCTCTGTAGTAAATATGAATCATTAACCAAGGCATTAAATGTTCAGATTTCAAAACCCACGGTTTCAGAGTATTACTTTTGGAAAACAAGGTAATGGCAATTATGTAAAGAAGATAGAGTAGTATGGTTTAAAACAAAAGAGCAAATCACTAAAATACAAACATTTAAGATCTCTCTGAAGATTGAGTATACACACCCAACCTTCACTAATTGAACCTATTAGCTTGGATCTTAATCTTGCTTTAGCTAAATATATACAATCAAATTTCAGTGAATTCATATGAACTCCTTTCAGTGACACCAATCACACTGAGGGGGTGGGTAAAAGATGAAGGAAAAAGACCACTGATGTCAAGCAATCTAGAATCTGGTGGGGAACATAAGGCAACTAAGCTAGTATCTTAAAATACCATAATGCTTAATACCTCTTTGTATTGAATAAAATAATAAAATCATGTAACCTTATGGTTATAAGGAATATTAGAGGTTTAGTAAATGAGAAAAAGGAAGATTTAAAAAATGACTTTTCAAAAATTGACTGGAGATTCTACAGAGGGAAATGAACTGTGTCCATACACACATAAGCTGTATATATACACATATAAATATACACACATAGATTACCTCTTTATCCAGCTTTCTTGCCTCTATAGGGGATTTTAAACCCAAGCATAAAAAATGTGAGCACTAGGTTTTAGGTTCATGGTCCAAAATAAATGTACATATACATAGTAATAAATTTAAAGAAAAATATTATAAGTAGGTCATATTATTAAAAAGACCACAGAAATTGTCCCTCTTCTATTCAACCATTTAATGTGGTTCTCATCTGCATTAGCAGGACAACTCTCAATGTTTATTTTGGAAGGAGTATACGTATATTTTCTTAAGGAGGCATTGAAAGATAGGATAGTTGATAGTGCATCATAGTAAAGGTAAATGCTTTGACCCACAGAATTTAGGTAGCTTTGTTGATTCTACAAAATTGCGAGGCACATGGTCAATCAACAAATGTGTGGCAAGCTCTACAAATACTCTGTGTACACATTGAGAGATGTAGCTAACATGTCGATGAAAAGGAAGGCGAAAGTGTCAGTTGACTCACGAGACATGAGGTATTGTTACAGCACGGCCCATCGCTGCAGTGGGCCCCGTTGGAGAGAGAGCATTTCTTACAGCACAATCCGTAGCATTCCTAGAGGAAACACTTCATGTGAGTAAGTGAGAAAGCTTATAGGCTGGTCATTCAACCCTCTCTCCACATGTGACTTATAATCCACACGAGGAGACTTATACAATAACAAGCAAATATTTCAGTAAATAATCACTTTAAACAATGATAAAATTCCTTCCTGCCATATTTTCCAGCAAAGTATGATCTTCTGTGAGAGGGCTTCTCTACCAAAAAGTAAGCTTATTTCTTAGCAAGCTGCTCACCTTCAGTTAGTTCCAATACGTTCTTAAGACTCTTATCTAGTTTCGGATTTTTAAAAATATTTTATTTTTAAGTAATCTCTACACCCAACATGGGGCTTGAACTCACAATCCCAAGATCAAGAGTCACGTGCTCTACTGACCGAGCCAGGCAGGGGCCCCAAGACTCTAACTAGTTTTATAAAGACAAAAATAATACATACCATGGAAAGACTATTTCATGATTTGGTAAAATTTGAATGGGATGAATATGAGCTATGAATTTTTAAGAGGTAGGAGATTTGATTAGAAGAACCCATTAGGTTTTTTTCAAACAAGGCCATAAGGACATGATTAATTCTAACATGTCTGAGCTGAGATTAAGCATTGATGAGAGAGATGAGAAAGAAAGGCAGTAAGACCACAGAGAAGGACCCTGTAGGCTTCTCACTATTCTTGTTTGCTCTGGGGAGGAACCGTGTTGAAGGTAGGAAAGATCTCTTATACCTACCACGTGTAAACCACAGTCACATTCCTCTCCAGCCTCCACATATCCATTTCCACATTCTGTGGGCTCAAATAGCTAAAAGAGATTAGGAAGAGAAAGGAAAAACATTTTAATTTATCACAGAAAATCAACACACCAATAGGGCCACATACATGGTCCTATAATCCGCTACCATGTGAAATTCTTCTGTGATCTGTTGTTAATGGCATCTTACAAATGATGTCTTTGTGGGTAACACTGTTCACTTATTAATAACACTTCTAAAAACCATATTCCAAATGGGGTACTATTTCTTGGAGGATTCTCTGGAGGTGGGCTCCAGAGATGACCTCTACCATTAGAATTACTTATTAATGGAAATAAGCTGTCAAAAGGAATAGATTATTTATCATATTTGCTAATGGAGCTAAGATGCAATGCTAAGACTCACAGATATCTAATTTACTGACTTATCTCCAGGCAGCTGAGAAAACACAAAAACTGTCAAAAAGATAAAAATGTTTCAGTCACAGCCAAATGTAACAAATACAATCAAGGAAATGCAAATAAGCGTAGAAAAGGTCCTGCTGGAAATCCATGCCCATCATTCGCATTGAAAAGAAATCTGCACTGTCTAAAGCATATTAAATAAACGTGCAGACATATGTACGGATGTACAGAAATCTCTCAGTCATTTCTGGAGCAATGGAAGAGTCAGATTTCTAGAATAATCCACTCTACTAGTGCTATGAACTTGCTTGCCAGACAAACTATATTGCAACCAATTGTGGAGGCAGCTGAGTGTTTATGAGAAATATTTCTATTTTCCCTTAGCTGGGGCAAGATCTCCCTATGCATGCCCATCATTCTTGGATGAAGACTGGAACAGCACATTCCAACCCAAATGCTCAGAGACAGGAATATGAGAGGGTAAGAGAGACTCCTCCTCCAGCGACCCCAAGGAAGGGTTGCCTTCCACCGAGTCCATCTGAGAAAGACCCGATTCTCCTTCCACTTCCAGTAAGGAAAAACTCTTATTCAAAGCAAGAAAGTTTTCCAGCATATTTGGGTGAGACTCCACCATAGGAAAGTCCAATAAGTGAAATCAACAGTCCTGATCTCTGTGGTATTTTATCAGCAGGCAGGAGAAAATGGAAATGGGAAGCTCAGACTGGAACATGGCTAGCACTTTCCTAACAGGCCTCACATGGAACCAGCTGCTAGATCTCACTCTTAGGAGCCTTCTTCCATCCAGCGACAGGTGGAAAACATAGCAGGTGGGAAGGGTCCCACAGCGCAGAAAAGAGGCATGCAGATAATGTGGAATATAACATGTAAACTATGAATGCATACATTCATTGACTAAAAGCACTTGGGGAAAAAAAAGTCAATTCTTTGATACATACATACAAACTATTCCACTAGAATCCATAGAGGCTTTTAAAGAAAAATCATTCTGCCATGTAGGTTAAAAAAAATCCATATTTACTAACTTTTAAAATTGAGGATATATCGTTATATTCATTTAGTTTCCAAGTTATCAGAATAATTTTCTTCCTACTCACAGGCAATTACAGAAATCTAATGATGGATCCTTCCACACACACTAGAAACCTTAGGACTCAGTGTTGTGCTCTCAGGCACAATGCTTCTAATTGGCTGGTGAGATGCAAGGCAGGTGAAATGAGTCATGTATACTCCAATTCATAAATGTCAGCAGCTTATGTCAATTATTACTACTCATTACCCCCACTTTGAACACTTCGAAGTTTTCAGCTTCCTGTTGCACTGAGATCAATGTCATGAAAGGCAGGCGGCTGGATTTAATGGTGCAAGGTCACTTTAAAATTCCCGTTTCTTTTTCTGCAGACTCACTGAGATTTTATACAGATGTCAGGCATCCAACTACCATCCCCTGACTACAGGGGTATCACTTAATTATGAGGCTAGGAGTAAATTATTCTGTCAGTTATCCACATTAGTCACTGATTTTTTTTCTGAAGGTTAACATGATTTCACTGCTCTCTCAATTCATAGAGCATTAAACATTTTGTACAGCAAATGGACTACATTTGACTTATGAAGTAGTATTTTCAAAAGAAATATGAGATGTGCAATGTTAGAGTTTCTATACCACCTGCTAATTAGCAGCAATCCTGTCTTTTTGTCTGTTGACGATTCATTTCCAAATATGCTACTAGAGGTCCACGGTCCCTTACGCAAAAGCTTTGTAGCCAGTGAGTTTGAAAATTCTGGCTTTGCTAGATTTTAGAAAAGTATGATACATTTACCATGTTCTATGTAATAGCCCTAAGGGGCCTGGTGCACACCCTATAATCAAAAACATTTCTATTTCTGCAGTAATACTTATGAATATTTACACTATGAGGGGTAATAAAGGTTTTCAGTCCAAGATAAGTTTTACTGCCTGACGTGTTTTCTGCAAACTCATAAAAAAGACTTCCAATTCTCAGAGCTTTTTGAGTTAAGGAATTATGGATAAGGATTGTGACAATGTATATATGAATCCTGATGAAATGCCAGTCGACACCATGGACCTACCCACATAAAGAGACTATATAATAAATAATAAATACATAAATGTATTTATGAGATCCATAAATACTTTGGGCTATTTTTTGGCTAGCTGATATTAGTAATGCTTCCTGTCTAGGAGAATAGACCACTTAAAAAGGAAAAAAAAAAAAAAAGCCAGGAAACTAGTTATACTCTTAGAGAGAATATCAATGGAAAATGGATTTTTCTCAGAGGAACAGGTTAAAGCAATGTATCTTAATCTAAACCACAATCTCTAAGCAGCAGGATGAAAATCCTAACATGTAAACTTCAAATATATTTTGAAATGTTTGTTTCTTTGTTTGCAGAACAAAGTGGGAGGGCTACAGCTAGCACTGAAAAATCAGAGATTCAAAGCAGCAAAACTATAGTTTTATCATTCATTTAAACAGGACCAGACTTCAACATGATAATGGCTTTTATGACTAAATATTAATCTGATTGACAAATCCCCTCTTCCCCAAAAAGACCTGTTTTCCAAGACAAGTATCTGACATTTGGCAGTGTTCCGTTGTAAAAAGATATGTCTTTTTGCATCTCATTTTATTAAGTCACGGAGCTACTTTTCAACATTTCACAAAGAGTAAAATGCAAGAATGGCGTTTAAGTCTTTTCCCATAAGAGATTTGTGACTGGATTCTGACCAGATCTGAGTTGTACATGATTTCAGACGCTAGTGCTTTCATGAATGTTATGTACATTAAACAAATGTCTTAGAAGCAAAAAAAAAAAATTAAAGAAATAATTACACTTTCTGAGTTACTAACCTTTGTTGGCCTATTGAAAAGACAGGCTCCACCCCCTCTCTGTAAAAAGTCTCTATATTCCAAAATGCTGCACTTTGAGAACTTTCGGGAATGGGACACCCTGAGAAAATAAAGAATCAATTATGTAAATAATTTACCAAAAGCAGGCATCAGAGAAGAAAATTAAAACCCTTGGATTAGAACAACAGGTTCACTCTGGATCTAGATGATTCCACACAGGTTATGACAAGGCATTTATGTTCAAATTGCCAAATAAGTATGTGTGGTAGAATTTGTAAAAATAGATAGTCAAAGAAAACCACATATTGGGGCCAGGTTATAACCTCCTCAGCAACCAAGCCCTTCCGTGCCTGGGCCTGGAAGAGTTTTGGAAAGCTTATCACAAAACTTCTCCACCTAAGCTATATTTTAAAGTGTGGTCATTTTTGTTTGCTCTCAGTAAAGGCAAGCATTTTTTGCCTCTGTCCTGAATAAAAGATGCAAAGGAACCTACTAGATTTTACTTTGGAGGAAAGAATTGTGAGGGTCAATCTATTAAAGATTATATAATGTGGACTTCAGCAACACCAATGAGGCAAACAAGGAAATCAAGGAAAGAGAAGTATTATACTATATATATATACACATACTATATATACATACATATACACATACATGTATATAAATGAATATATATACACATATATGTATATATGTTTTTAGCACATATACACTCGGTAAAAACAGAATTAGGGTAAGCTCCTTCTGAATTAGAATTAGATAATAGCTTTTTAGGCTCAACCTGAAATATATTCATGACTTAGGAATATGATATGAGCCTCTTTGTGATTTAACTAATCCAATTACTATCTCTATGTCAGTACCTGGGGAGATATTATACACACGGTCAAAGCTAAACTGAATCATACACACTGATTCCTTGGGCGTATTTGTTATAGTACTTGATTTGAGAGCGACAGGCCATGGATTCTAGGATGTAATCCTAAAGTTTCTTGTACCCTGATGCATGAAGGTAGTATATGGAAGTAGGAAAAGTTTTTGCCATTGTTGACAGTGATCTCTTAAAGGAACTATGTAGAAATGTATACTTGAGAAAATATATATATATTAGCTTTAAATAGTTTTATTCTATCCTCTGGGTGGCCAGTCCAAAAATCCATTTAGAAATTGGGAGTTTAGAAGACAGAAGGTGCCTCCCTATAGAAGCAATATTATAAATGGTGTTACCTTCCTATAGTAGTCCGCAAAAATGCCGTTTAAGCCATAATGTTACTAAACTATGGTAGAACAGTAAGGGGAGCATGAAAGTCTACAGTTTCAGGTTTAAACTACATTTCTAGAAACATGTTCTAAAGCAGCAGGTAGAATGGTTGACTCTCTCTGCAATCCCTCATGATCACACTCCTCTTTTCCACCAGGAGCAGGACTCCTGGTGGGAGCGTAAAGAAGGGACTCTGTACAAGGAGGTCAGAGCCTCTGGCCACTGCGGCTCCTCAGGAGACGGAGAGGACCAGAAACAGGCAATGTATTGAGTAGATCTCTGGCATGCGCAGAAGAAACAGGAGAGATGCTGGGTGAGACAACCTCTTACGTCTAGTAGGAGTAGGCTCTAGCTTAGGGAGCCTTGGGTCAATGGCTCCCACAGGGGCAGGGGCTGGAGGATGGGGGGGGGCAATGTTTCCAGGCCTTGGTTCACAGACACCAATGGCAGCTCCGGGGCAGTGACTCTAGTTCTCCAAGTATCCTCACAAGAAGAGAAGAGATAGGTGAGAAAATGTTCAAATGTCTATCAAGAGATGATATCTAATTTAGACACAATAAATCTGTCTTAATTAAAAAAAAACTATATGGATTATATAAGCAGTATAGTACAATTTTTACTAGAGCAAACATATCTATTTGCGAGTTCCTTAAAATATAAATTGATGACAAAATGGACTTTCACTGACTGCTCCAGGCAGACAACCAGCTCTTAGTCTAAGTGCACTAAAAAATTAATGTATCTACTAAACTTAGAAGCATTTAATAATGGGCTTCTTTTAAAGGTTAATAGAAATAGAAGTTGTTACTATATTTTGCTCTTATCAACATTATAAAAAATTAAAATATAAGGTGAATCAGTCCTTTCATTTTTAAAATATCAGGTAATTAATGATTGGATTTATACTGAGTGCTGAGCCTAAAAGATCAGTACCTGAGAGACAGTATATCTAATTATACGCAGCAATGTCAGTGAAAGGCAGATATCAAAGGCACGTATAATGAAAATTTACCCTGTTTCCTCCATGATGCAGCCACCCCAGGATTCTGTGCAGTCACATTCTAGTCCAATGAAATAACAAGAAGCAACAGAAGAAAAGAAAAACAACAAAAGTCACGTCTTTAATTTGCATTGCAACTCTTGAGATAATTCCTTATTCCCAATTCCATGTCATGTAGATACAGAATGTGAAGTCTCACCAAACAAAATCTATTTCCATTCAATCAATATTTCTTTATATCCTTTCCAGAAGGACAGGTTGTTTCCTGAGACAACAGCTGGTGAGAAATAAAACTGTCACTCTCTTCATTTTTGTAACTCAGAAAACTCAATTGAGTTCCCAGTTCCAATGTTTAATGAAAAGTAGCCTGGTCTGGAAGTGAAAAGCCTGAGTCCTAGGCCAAGTTCTACCTGAAAGGCAAGTCCTGCAGGCAAGTGACTTAGTATTTCTTGGGTCTCAGTGTTTCCACCTTGAAAATGGAGAACAGCCTCTCTGCCTGTCTCCCAGAGTGGTTCGGGGGCTCACACGAGATGAGCGGTGATGCTCTATTGCACACGTCATGAGGCATCACTGAAGCCTGCCCAACAGAGCACACTGGAATTTATAGGACAGAATTCCATTTGCTAGATTCAAAGCGAGGTTTGGCCAGAGACTTGAAGAACACTACACTCAAAGGTTTAGGAAAAGAGAGCATTCCAAAATAAAAGTGTAAGTCACTGAAATTAAACAACAATCACAAACTCAACCTAGATGCCAGAGACTGACATATTGATATTACGATGGGCTGTTCTTTTCATTTATTTTTTCCCATTCTCTTTTCTATCATAGACAGACATATTTTTAAAGAAAGACTTCCAAATGGATTTTTTAAAAGCCAAAGTTCAGAACTAAAGAACTATCTTCCTAAACAAACAATTCACAAAGGAATAAAACATTTTAGGAAGGAACCACTCCGGGCATCGGTCCTGAACCCCTACTTCTCACCCCACCCCCTCACCCAACTCCATAACATCTCTCAGCTGACCCCAGCGCTGGCCTCTTCCAGGCCCCAGGGTTCTCAAACAAGGTCATAAACCTGGTCCCACTCCTTTCTGATACTAAGGCCATCCATCCCAGCTGATGAAACCCAAAACACCTCCTTTAACGTATACTATGCGTTTCCTTGGGAAAGCAAATACTCTGAGCAAGATATTAATAAACGAAAGTTTGTGGATATTTGCTAAATGCCACCAGACTTAATATACCCATCAAGTGATAACTTAATACACCCATAAAGGGAATTGAGAAGCTCCTGGATACATTTTGTTTCAAGTTTCCATAACACTATGCATTAATGACAATTATTTGATAGTTGTCAAAAAGGTAGAAAATGTAGGATAATGTTACAGTAGTTTTTTGTCCTTTTCTTCCTCGGGAGCTGAGGTGGGCAGGGAGACCTTTACTATTGGCATCTGGTATTTTCACAGAGGGGAGCAGACTTCCGCTTAAGAGAACAATTTGAGGAATACCTCGGTCTTTCTTTCCACAAGATCCCATTATGATTTCTGTGGGTCCTTGGCACTTTTGCCTGATGCCACAAGAAATGTATTAGAAATTGCATTTTACTACTTTGTTGGTCTAAAGAGGAATATAATCCAGGTTGGATTTTATCCTGATTTTTAAAGAAACTGAAATTTTTCATGGACTCCTAAAACCACTGTGGGCTTTGCGTACTTCGCCCCTGGAAGTCAGCCCTGTGCTTCCACCTTCCCCTCCTCTGAGTAACGAAGAGAGTGACGCCAGCAGTCACTGGCTGCATTTTTCCCACTGAGTGGGGCCTGTGGTCCTGTTTGGACTCCCTCTTGGCACTGCTGGCCCACGAGAGGGTTATCCCCTACCACCCGTTCCCAGGCTTAAAGGGCCCTTAGGGCAGGGCTACCTGTAGGGGAGGCTTCTTCCTGAGCCTTTCTGATGGAACCATGTGGGTGAGTTCAGTTAGAGGAAGGTAGGTGGGGAAGTTTAATTAGAGTGGGAGCTCCTTTTTGACACTAGATCTAAGCCATTTCCTGGTCCAGCTGTACTATTATTGACCCCCAGTGGAACTTTATTGACACCTAGTGTCTACACTCCACTGCTTAGAACCCAGAGGGTGAATATTCACCCCCTCCCTTGAACCCCAACACTCTGCGATGTGAGAAAGAGCTGCTCCTCTTCTGAGAAAATGGGTGCGATTTTTATGAATTTTGAAGGGGAACTCCCTACAACCCGAACAGATTAAGAATTACCTTAAGTTGCTCATTCGATCGTCTTTTTTAAGAGGAAGCAGGTATACTACAATTAAACTCTCACGACTTAGGAATGAGAAATATTTATTTATTATTGACTGGACATGCATTATACAGACAGAATGGCACATGAAAGCGAGTAAGAAGGTCAATGTACATACTTGGCTTTCTGCTAGAAGGTTCCCATTGGATTCCAAGGTTTTGAGCCAGGCTCTGCGATAATACTTGTGCCACTGCCATTGGAAGACCATACTGTTTTTCAGAGTTGAAAGTGTGTGGGAGACATTTGAGAGAGTGCACAAAGCTAGTTATTATTTCTTAATCATCACCACATATCATCTCAGTTCCCTAAGTAGAGCCTCACAAGCATCAAAGGAGGGCATATGCTCCTTCTCACTTCTTCCTTGCAACTGGGCCCAAGAAGCAGAAAGCCTCTCTTCCTATGTGGCATCTCTCCGAACGTGATGCTCTCACATGGAAACATAAAATACAAGCCATAAAAGGCTATGCCCTGATTCAACTCATACCAAACCAAGAATGAATTCAACTTACTACAAATATGCCAAGAGAGGTCTCGACTGAATGACGGCTATTGGGATAAGCTGGTATAATATATTCTGGCATGGATCAGGATTTAGATATAGTTGGTTCGGCTTTTTGGGTGCTGTTGCCAACAGGCGTAAGGATTTCCTTGATATAAATGAAGGTACTGGAATCCAAACAATGAGACTAAGGAAATATTTGTTTCAATGAATTCTACAGAGATATGGGTAGAAGGCATAAAGATGAAAAATTTACATAGGGAGAAAACAAAGATACTGATTAAATATAATCATAAACTCTTTGATTTAAATGAGTTAAACCTAACATGCATAGGAGAGCATGATAGCTTAAAGTTATCGGGAAAGGAATAATAAGTTTATAAAAACTTATCCATAGAGGTGAAAAAAATCTCTGGACCACTCTTTGGCATGCATTTGCCTGATAAACATGAAAAACCATCATTATGAAATGAAGCAACACTTCCTTTCTAACACCAAAGACCACTTTGGGTTCCACTTACTAATGAAAATCACTCATACCTTATTCTTATGTCATTGTCATTTTAAACAAGCCTGAGAGGGATGGAAACTAGGCCACAGGGAAGAAAGAGGTCAGATGCAAAGATAAAGCTCTACTTTAGGAAAATTGATCAAATTTACCTCATTCACACCAACTCCCCTTGTGCGAGAACAGACACCTCCGAAGTAACTGAGACTGCTTCTCTTATAGTGGAATGTCATACGCCTAAAGACAAAGGAAGTGTATCAGGAAACCAACACAGTGACCATCATACACACTCTCCCAAGACACACCTACTCCCTCTTCTACAGTGAACACCCCAAACTCATTCTTCCTCAAGAAATCAAAAACTACATTTTAAATACCTTTAGATTTATGTTGTCATAAATACCTTTAAATTTATGTTGTGTGAAGCAATGTCAGTTGAACAAACATTAATCGAGCACCTACTAAGCACTGACCGATTATTATAAATTATTATACATTGCTGATTATAGACTGAGAGAAAAAGAAGTAAAGAGCTAAGGCGAGAGGCAAGGAAAGAGGAATCTGGTGGGTCTGATTCCAGGACAGAACCTTGGAGGACTGTCTGAAAACAGCTTTGCCATGAATGAAAAAAGGAAACCACCTATTATATTGAAAGACCATATGGTCATCCTTTTCCTCAATGATAAAGTCTCAATTTTATTCAATGGTTCACCTCAAAAGACTGTATTTCCTGGCCTCTCTTGCAACCCTCTCTATGTGTGGCATGTGATTAAGAGCCAGGAAATGATTTGTTGGTAAAATGGATATGTGAAAGCTTTCAGGAAATCTGCTTTAAAGGAGCTAACTCAGCTGGAAGGAGGGCTCTTTTGAACTCCTCCATGACTATATTCCCGGTGCCTAATAAAGGCTGATGCACCAGCAGCCACCTTGAATCATGAGTTGACCTGGAGGATGGAAAGCATGAAAGTAAGAACGTGCTGTGAAGGTAAATCTTATGACCATGGAACCACCGTCCCAGCACCAGACAACTTACCTCCCTGCTACTTACATAACCAGAAAGAAGAATCAATTCAAGATCAGTACACTGACATATAACTTAACAGATACAATAAGGGCATAAAGATCAAAGACCGCAGGTACATACGAGATGAGGTGCACAGCATCAGCATGCTGTTTGATATGCTGCCGGTATTTGGAGAACTCATGGAGCATCTGCACAGGGTTGGTGGTGATGTCAATATGATCCTTCTCAGTCCAGGTCTCTACAGCCACCAGGACAACCCTGGTATTGAGCTGCTCCTTGTAAATCTGAGGGTATACAACAGGACAGGTGCAGGAGGAAAACACTGGGTCAAACATGCACAATCAGTGATTCAGAGTCAGTGGAAGGACAGGAGGGGAGGTGAGAGGAGAACATGAGGTCACAATTAGCTCATCATAAAGAATCTTCTTTCCTTTCTCATTTCCAAGAACAGAAATAAAGAAAGAAAGAACAATCACACAATTCAGCCTCTCCTACAAGATTATTTTAATCCCAAATCAGCACATTTATTGGTCAGGCATCTCACTAGGGGATGGACAGTAGGGATGTCAAGATTCTAAAGTCTGGACATAAATTCATAACAGCGTTCAGTAAAATCACTCTCCCAAAGAGTGGCTGGAGCCTGACCTACTGGCTCGTAGTGCAGTACGACCAGTCAGCCCGGCAGGATTGAAACAGATCACTAAGTCCTTGGACCAGCGCCCAACAACATGGCTTACTTGTCCTTGGAGGCCCAGCGCCATGACACGTAAAAGAACAGTGGGAGGGAATCCTAGATCTGGGCCAAAAGAGGGAAAAACAGATTCATATCACCCACTTCCCCCTCACCATAGGGTGGCCTCACTCCCAATATTTAAACTGTATCTTTCTCGACTTTTGGCCCAGATGCTAAACAATTCACACAATTAAGCAATTTCAAAGATGGCTATCATTTTGTCCTATTTTCAAGCTAATTAAGAAAATAATGGGTGATCTTTGAACACACTGAAGAAAAGGAATATCATCATGCCTAAATCAACCCGAAGCTATAATGATTTTACAAAAAGCGAGTTAAATGTAATGTCTTTTAAAGATTAGTTAGCCAGCTTCAGAACCCAATTCCACTTTGCAAGATGTCGTTCTATTCAATCATGGTAGAATGACCAACACAGAGATGCTACCAAGTCAACAGCTTTGGCAACTTCTCTTTTCCATATTCACTTATAGTCTTCTTCTGAGAAGACTGCTGACAAGAGCTGAAATTACAGAAGATTAATAAACCAGGTGTAAACTGGCTTTCAGAATTTCAATCCTAACTCTACATGGCTCACTATGACCATCCACCTGTATTATACCGTTACTCAGCTGTGCCTACAGGTATATGTTGTGAGTATTTACATGATGAAAGGTTTGGGGACTGTTTCAAAGGCAGTTCTTTGGAGGAAATAAGTATCATTTAGACAGTTGGCAATTCATAAAAAGTTTTTTTTTTCCCAGTTAAGAGGGAACATACCATAAATATCAGATAAAAATAGATTTAACTGAACAAAATAGCACTTTACATTAGAAAACAAAGTAGTATGCTATATTTAATCTATGACTAGCCAAACTGAACTATTTATTGGAGCATAACAAATAATATTCACATCTATGTAATTCTACCTAAATCAGGAAAAAGGAAGAAAATCTTAAACATTATTCTCTGTAACTTACAAAATGAGAGGGGAAAAAATATCAATATGAATGATTTATAGAGCTAGAAGTCTTTGTAAGGAGATATATATCTTACTGTTTCAAATTAATTTTATTTGGGGGACTGCACTTAATTCTGTCATCTAGAAATAGAATCTGAAGCATTCACTACTAAGAAAATAAATGTGAGTTCTTAAAAAAAAAAAAAATACTCCACCTCAATCAATTAGCTCTCTTGCAATATATTTAAGACAATAAGCTCAACTGGTCATCATTAACAAAGTCTCATTTGCCAAGTGTAATTTACACTCTTTTTAGCAGTTAATTTTCTCTAGTGTTTTTGTCCCTCTAGGCTGGGTGACAAAGAGGTCTAGACATCACTTAGAAGCAACACTAATGCATCTTTGGCATACCGAGAATGACCCAACTGCCCCCAAAACTTTGATAACACTACTTTTCGTGGAAGCAGACCATATATGTTTATCAGGCAAATATATGGAAATTTCTTAGCCAGATGAGCTTAAGGATGGTGTTTTTTATAAACCATCCCGTCTTGGGAAAATAGGTTCAAGAAAACTGGGATACTTACAGAATCCACAAGGTTGACCACGGACTTTGCGAAGTTATTGGTGTGTGCATGAGAAGAGCGATATTTCTTATACTGGGGGGGAAGGATAAACCAGTTACTGCCAAATCATAATTTAATGGCAAATTTCAAACTTCAGTAAAAGCAGACACTTCACAGCAATAGTACAAATAGGGATTAAAAATAGACAATTCTGCTTGCACCATGTTGGATATAGTGGTGTTTTTTTGATTCTCTATTAGGCAGCAAAACTCCATCTAAAACACCTGTACCAGTTCCAAGTATGGAGAGAACCTATAGAAATCTGTGTGAGAAGCTTTACACCCGAGAAATGAGTAGTTCATTCAGTCTTAATGTCTACAAATGCAATCTTCTTGTGTTCACTGAAACAACCATTACAGTTTACGAAGGGCTTAGCCAAGAAATTTAGTCCCAACTGGACACCCTTCTCCCTTTAAACTCAAGACCAGACACTGACCAAGAAAATTTCTTAGGCAGCACTTTAGATACTGGCCATGATATAGAACGCATTTTTTATACATTTTAGTATATTCTTTCAGAAGAATGCCTCCTCCAAACGAAGCCTTGGCTTTTGACTGTTCCAAGTCAGAACAAAGGAGGGACAAGAAGTAAAAATGAAGTGCGTGGATAGTTTAAGATTGTTTATGGTTATTTATGATTATTTAAGAAAATAAATAAAAATAAATTAATAGAGTAATTCCACAACAACATCTGGAGGGCTACAGTTTTAGCAAAGAATACTGCACAGTATGTCTTTGAGAGGACATTTGAAAACTGGAGTCTACCACAGGGGGATCACACTCTCTACTGAGGAAAAAGGAAAACATACTCAAAACTACTGAATCAGATTTGCACCATAAATCTTTAAAATCTGTCTTTAGTAACATATCTTTCATAAAGATTAAAAACGGTTCTACTCTGGAAATCCATGAAATTCTTTTTTTTTTTCCTTCTCTGCCCACTTTCATACTATAAATTTGTCAGGCTCTCTTCATTTCATTCTCTCTCTACCCCGGTACTACGTTTTTTTTTAAACAAAGAATATATGTCTTCATGCTTACATACCTGGTATTTATTTTTTATGCTACTTCATACAATGACAACCCATGACAAATGTGCAATAAATCAGTACTGTGTTATTGGTAGCATTCACTAATTTATTACCATTTTGCATTTATAACACTTACTATGATGTGAATGTTTATATCCCCCCAAATTCATATGTTGAAATCCTAACTCCCAAAATGATGGTATTAGGAGGTGGGGCCTTTGGGAGATGCTTTGGTCATGAGGCAGAAGGCTAATGAATGGGATTAGTGCCTCAAAGGAAGCTCCAGAGAGCTCCCTTGCCCCTTGCACCAGAGGAAGTGGGGACAGAGCGAGGTGCTGCCTATGAATCGGGAAGCAGGTCCTCACCACCTGCTGGCACCATGATCTTGGGCTTCTCAGCCCCTAGAACGGTGAGAAATAAATTTCTGTTATTCATAAGCCACCCAGTCTGCGGTGTTTTGTTAGATCAGCCTGAATGGACTTGGACTCAGAATGGACTCAGACTTGATGTTACTGCTGTCACCGTGCATCACAATCTGACCCAAACTGTCTCCATGTGTTCTTTAAGAGTAAACATCAATCTGTGCATGTAACTGGGCCAAAAACATCATATTGATCTAAGAATCTTAACGCACTTTAACAGGGTTTTCAAACCTGGCATAAAGAAGTTGCTGTAAATAGCTAAGCATTTTAAGTTGTCCAGCAAATTCCACACGCTAAAAAATTTCAAAGATATTTTTTAAAGTAAAAGCAAAAGCCTCAGCATTAAGTTCCTTTGGGGTGATGACAATATTAAAAGTCTTGACATTAAGAAGCACATATTACAAAAAGAAATGAAAAATATTAACTGACACCTATTCTAAGGCAGTGGTGTTATATACCTATGACAATTAACTTTATTTTGCTTCTGAACATTAATTTGTCCATTTTGGAGACTTCTTTTTGTAGTATAATGATCATGCGAAAATATGAGATGCAAGTTAAAAAATTAATGAAGTCTTTTTTGATGTTGCGATGTTTTTCACTTATTTCATATTTTTAATTTCCATGTCTCTGATTTCCTTTATAGAAAGCTCCATCTGCTGTGGGGTAAGTGAATTAGAAAGGGTCAAGCATGGAAGCAAGAGTCCAGGTAAAAGATAATGAAGGCTGGACATCTGCAGAGAGAAGTGGGTGGACACACTATGAAGGTAGGGTTCCCAGGACTTGCTGATGTATAGGATGTGGAAGGTGAGGAAAGAGAAGAATAAAGGATGACTGCCAGGTCTTGAATTTGAATAGCTGGGAGAATAGAGGTGACATTTAAAATAATGAGAAAGACTAGGTGAAGAGAAGCTTAGGACTAAGGGATCAAGAGTGCTGATTTAGAAATGTTAGAGATGCCTATTCAGTACTGAAGCTGGCATGCAAGTAGACAGTTGATACATAAGTATGGACTCAGGAGGCTAGAGGCATAAAGTAGAGAGCGATAAATTTAAAGTCATGATATATATTTTTTAAGATTTTATTTATTTATTTTGAGGGGAGAGGGGCAGAGGCCAAGGGAAAGAGAAAATCTCCATCCGACTCCCTGCTGAGCTCGGAGCCCAATGTGGGGCTCGATCTCACGACCCTGAGATCATGACCTGAGCTGAAACCAAGAGTTGGATGCTTAACTGACTGAGACACCCAGGCATCCCTAAAGTCATGATATTATTTAAAGATTGAGACTGGAAGTGTTCACATTGGCAAGAGTTATAGAGAGAAAAGAGAGCCCAAAACCAAGCTATGAGCACGCCCATAACCCTAGAGGCCAGATGCAAAAGACTAAGAAGGAAGGCCAGTAAAGTGGGAGAGCTGTTGTGTCAACAGAAGCCAAAAGATGAAGAAAATGTTTCACATAGGAGAGCATAATCAACCGTGTCCACTGCGGCAGCACGAAAGAGTGAGAGAGCACGAAAGAGGACAGCTAGGGTACCCATGAGATTTGTTCACTTGAAGTTCCACTTAATTGAGCAGCTAAGATTTACCAGGATCTATAAGTGTTCTCCTACAACAAATATTTGCTCCTCAAACTCTATGAGGTGGGTTTTATTAGACCATTTTAGAAATGTGGACAGTGAGGTTCAGAGAGGACAAAGAACTTATCCAAGGTCACACAGCTGGAATTCAATGCCTACTCTGGGTTGAGATAGGAGATAAACTTTTCCAGCTAACAATTCTGATAAAATAGTTAATGTATATTCCCAAGAAATCACAGTTCTTGATGAGAACTCGTAATTTGTTAATGTGCCCATAAAGTATAGTGGTTTTTAAATAGGGATCAAATTGAGATTTAAATTGAAAAATATTTGAGCGATAACACAGTTGCACTCGGACTTGTACGTATGGATACAGCAAAAATGTAAGCAAAACTTTTTTCGTGCACTTTAAAATATTTCAACCAATTTTCTATTAGAATAAGGCTTTTCATATTTATATTTAGCTCAAGTGGCTCAAAGAAATGTTTGCAGACCCTTATCAAGGCTATAACTGGCTTACGAATTAGCTTCCACCAGCTAGCTACCAAGATGCTTTCTACAAAATTGAGGGATTTTCCTTTCCTAATTGAAAGCCACCAATAACATGATGCTTGTTCAAAATAAGGTGTCTGCCTTTTTTCAGGAAGCCAATATTAGGTTACTCTGAATTAAAGAGATTAGCTTGAATGTGAATGTAGGCAAAATGTTTCTATTTCCTGCATGAATGAGGAATAATTTTGCATACAAAGAAAAATGTGCAATCTCCATTTATGATAAAACTTACTTTCACATTTTGTGATCACTGAAAATAATTTACATTTAAAGTGCCAAATTTATTTTTCCTTCCTGAACAATTACAACCCTTAAATAAATTTGCTTTTTGAAAAAAATTAAAATTAGAGCTTGATTTTCAATCTTAGGGTGACAGTTATCAAAACAACTGTGTTGCCTCATCTAGCACAAAGATTGTATGATGATGAGTCATTTCAAGGATGATCATTCTAAAAGCCAACAGTAAAACTCCAGATATTAAAAAAACAGATGTTAATTATTCTAGTTCAGTTTTACCTTCAAAATGTGAATTTCAGGACTCTGACCCATGTTCTGATTTACTACTTCTTTGTGGCAATCAAATTCAAAAACAATCTTCATTTTCTTCATTTCATATAAAGCACACCTTAAAAAAACTTTTTTCTCACCTCTCAAAAGAAAAAAAATCCTTATAAAATGACACACTTATGTGGGACTAGGATGTAACCTGGTCTCAAAGCAAAAGGAATATTCTGTCCTATTAGCCCAGATGTAATGTTTATTTAAATAGTAGAAATCACTTAGGTAATTTCTTTCTACTTTAGGTATTATTACTACTCAAAAATAAAGCTTTCTTTTTATTTAATTTCTTACTATGTATTCCTTCCAAGTTTATCAGTGAAAATTACAGTTCTTTTATTCTAGTTTCAAAGATAGATGAACATATCATGACTAGTTCTCTCTCAATTTTAATAACAATAATAATAAAATAATTACCAAGGTTTACCATTAACAAATTTGCTAGGATAGAGAAGGTAACTTTATCACAGAATATTTGGTATAAAGTGCAGAAAATTTCCATATATGAAAATGATATTTTAAATGGGAGGGTGCTGTTTTATAGTCATAAGATAAAGACAAGATTATTTAAATGCTTCCATTTAAAAGGATTAAAATATAAATTCAAAGTATATAATATTTTTTAAAAATTAATGTTTCCTATTTATACAGTTACTGATACCTACTCTGATTGATGACAGTTTTAGAGTATGGTGGAACAGGAGATGTGGAGATCAAAGTCATGGGTTGGAGAAGGGTTCTCTTCATTCCCAGCTCTCTGTGAAGGTACTTTGTGAATTTAGAGGCATTGACCGTATCACAGTTATTCCTTCCACTACTTTAAAAGTATTTGCATAATGTATATTAGAGAAAGCGGAAGTGTCTAACGCCATAGTTTCATGCCACAACGCTAAGGACTGAGAAGTACCTACAAAAAATTTCAATGTCCCAATCAACAAAAATAGTTCAGATGAAAAATTATCTTGGGGTTTCAAGCAAATGTCCTTCTGAAACTCTTAGTTTAGCCTTCATTATCTAAAATGGCTGTCTACACATTTGGTTTTCTTTCTGACCAGAGAGGACCTCTCCTCTGCTTCTTCTAACATATATCAAGCAATACATTTAAAAGCTACTGGTAAATAAAATAAATCTGCATATATAATTAACAGGTATTCCACTGAATAATACTCAACATAACTGAACCAGTACTTGGCAATTAGTAAAAAAAAGTCTGCTAATGTAGAGAATCAAATAAAAGTTTAAAAATAAATTAAGTCACCATATTTTTTTTTAAAAGATTTTATTTATTTATTTGACAGAGAGAGACACAGCAAGAGAGGGAACACAAGCAGGGGGAGTGGGAGAAGGAGAAGCAGGCTTTCCCGCGGAGCAGGGAGCCCGATGTGGGGTTCGATCCCAGGACCGTGGGATCATGACCTGAGCCGAAGGCAGACGTTTAACGACTGAGCCACCCAGGCGCCCCTAAGTCACCATATTTTTAAATTTATGGTTTCAAGGCCTTTTCTCGAGTAAAGTCTACTAATAGAATTTCACACTGTCATTTTACCCTATCGTCTACTAATCTAATTTGGCCTCCTTAAAGTAAAACAAGGACTTAATGATATATGCAAAGCAATCTGAATTTTTGTTGCAATCTTTTACAAGTTTGTCACCCATACCTGACTTTTAAGTATTTCTTAAAATAGTCTCATCTTTCCAGAAATATAACTCAGTTTTCATAAAAACAACTATTCTTTGTCTTGGTTTATACAATTTCTTAAATTAAATTATATAGTTACAACAAGAAGTACAACGAGCCTACACAGTCTGGGAGGTGCAGCAAAGGGTGCTGGAGCCAGCTCCCAACAGTTCACAAGAGCGAACTGGATGCAACTTTTCCCAGCTCCTCATTTAGTGAGCTCACTCCAGTAGCTTGAAATGAGCCATGATGGGAGTATTTACATCACAGGTATCAGTAACCATTATAAATCAAGGCTTTTTTTCCCAGAGAGCTAGATGTTAAATATTTAAGCATACCCCAAGTGTTGGTTATACTTGCAAACACCCTACTGGACAAGACTCTTTAGAAAGCTCTAGGCTTCAGCCAACCTGTTTTACAAGGGACACGATTAAGTAAAACATGGTTAAGAAAGTTTCTACTCGGGGTGCCTGGGTGGCTCAGTCACTTAAGCATCTGCCTTCAGCTCTGGTCATGATCCCCGGTGTCCTGGGATCCAGCCCTTAGTAGGGCTCCCTGCTAAGCAGGGAGCCTGCTTCTTCCTCTCCTTCTGCCCCTCTCCCTGGCTCATGCTTGCTTTCTCTCTCTCAAATAAATAAATGAAACCTTTTAAAAAAAAAAAAGTTTCCACTCTATTTTCAAGAACAGCCAGTGGAGGCAATAATTATTTTCCATGTCTTTTAAATGTTATTGAGATGAAACATTAAATCACACTGTACTTTGACATAAGTAGCACAATATTACTCATCTTTCCAAAATTTAAAGAAGATAAATCATCAAAGATTGTCTCTTTGGATATGCCTTTATTATACATCTTCACTTCCTATAATTACATTTGCCACAAGTCATAATAATTAGTAAGAAAAAAATGTTCTCAGAACAAAGACATGGAATAAAATTAGAAAGTAGTGGCCAAATACATAGAAGAAGAAAAGTAGAGGATAAGAATTTTAAATGAAGGTATGTAAAAGATGTCAAACAAATAGTTCAATCCATTCACCATAACCACTAAATATTCATCTATTTATTAGAGTTGTGAAAATTCTATAAAGCCCAGTGTTTCCAAACACCATGAAATAAATCAAGTCATTTAATAGTTCCAAAGAAATAAAACATCTAAATATATTGGCCCTAGTAAGTAACAAATAATGATTCAATATACAGTGAAATGTATTCTTTCTTAAGCAAGCTGCCAGGCCTAAAACTCACTGATTCTTTATATTCTTACCGTTTTGTGATCATTAACAATCATAAGTTCCAAATATTTCATTTCTTCAAACACACCGCGAGATGGCTGTGGAAAATAAAAATATAGTCAGAATGGTGGTGGATATATCTCTGATGCTGACTATTAACTTATAGATTGACTTTGAATTTTTCAAAAAGAACGCTTTGCTGCCTACTTTATAAAAAAACACCCTGGAACAAACTTGCTAAGCAAAATCGAAGACAGCGACTGTAAAGTGTGGATAAACATTCAAGTATTCAGAAAAGAACTGTATTTAATTATCATTAAAATAGGGGCACCTGGTGGCTCAGTTGTTAAGCGCCTGCCTTCAGCTCAGATCATGATCCCAAGGTCCTGGGATCGAGCCCCGCATTGGACTCCCTGTTCAGCAGGAAGTCTGCTTCCCCCTCTCCCATTCCCACTGCTTGTGTTCCCTCTCTCACTGTCTCTCTGTCAAATAAATAAATAAAATCTTAAAAAAAAAAATACTCATCAAGATAGAGAAAAGCCTGTGGTATTTTTTTTTAAGATTTTTTTTAAGTAATCTCTACTCCCAATATGGGGCTCGAACTCATGACTCCAAGATCAAGAGTCACATGCTCCACCAACTGAGTCAGCCAGGCACCCCCAGCCCACGTTATTTTTATATGATTTTCATATGTAAAAATATCCTAGAGAAAAGTGTACAGTATAATTCTGCTAAAATAAATAAATCTCAATTTCTTTGGCATTAAAATGTGGTAAAAAAGATTCTTATCTACTTAAAACTTCAAAGGAAATCTACTTAAAGCTCATTTAATAAGAACAGCACAGTACATGTGGAAAACAGCTATCAATATAGTCAAAAGAAACATTAACTCACTGGAGTGAAATTTTAATAATAATGTACTAAATCTTAACCACACAACTTCTCAAAGGAACAAACATTGATAATTACTATTTTCTAAATGCTTCTAAATTTTGATTATTCCTAATTTTAGAGCAAGGGCTAAGCATTTTAATTATCATTTGGACTTTCTTTTTTCGTAGTTGAAAACCAACAACGATGACTCTTTTTTTCTTTATGTACAAGGTCACTGATCAGTTTATATTTGATAGGGGTGGACTGTAGTGAAATGTCAGTAGCCTATATAAAACTTATTATTACCAACCACATCTTCAAGAGTGAGAAAAAAAAACTCTAAGTAAAAAAACAAAATTTGTATCTATAATCACCATAACATGAAGACAGGCTCATAAAAGAGAGGATGATTTAACCTGAAACTAAGTTTCTGATGACTGGTGGTCTAATTTTTTCACAAAAAAATACATTCAGCAAAACATTATCTAAAATGTGCAATTTTCAGTATAATTACTCATTAAGTTATCTAGTAAATTACCATGTAATCTATATGCTGTGGAATTAATTCTCAGTTACATAGCATTCACCATGTAATTACGAAACAGTCCCCATCATTACAGCTTTCTAATCTATTATGAAAAAGACTAGGAACATAATTTCAGTTACAAAGCTCCTATACATTTATCAATACATGGGAGCTATCCTACAGTTGTTGATTATATAATTACATGATTCTTATTTGGTAACTGTCATGATACCAATGGTCAAATAGATCCTCAAGAAAACATATCCAGCTTCAAATTTTGGTACAACAGAGCTTTCAATTTGAAAGAGCTACAAATAGCCAAATTTCAAAACCTAATACTACCCCTTACTTTTTTGGTGAACAAAAATGCTTCATAATGTTATATAAGCCATATAAAAAAAAGTCTGCTGTACTTTTAATAGAAAAAATGCACTGTACTTTTCATAAGAAAATGCTTTGAAAATGAAGCTAAAATAATACATTCCTTATATGCCATCAGGGTTCATAGGACACTGTAACCAGTTTACATCAAATAGAAAAAGCTGAATAAAAAGCAATATGCCTGTAAGACGCAAACCATAGGAAGAGTTTGGTTTGTTGTTTTGGTTTGTGAAAGGATGTTACCCAAATCTCAACTGCTTTAGATAGACTCAGATACTATGTGATTTCAGGCACACAGTTTAACTGAACGAAGCGGCCCCACCTATGGTTCAACGCCACACTCACATTCACTGCTCTCTTCCTTCTCCTTTTCAACCATTGCAATTCAGACAGAAAGGGCCACTGGTCTCTGCTTTCCATACCTGTGTAAAAGAAAAGGGAATGCAAAAGTTTATACTTGACTGCAGTTCAATGGGAGTATGTTTTTAAAATATGTGAAAGTACTAAAACTAAAGCAGGAAGAAATAGAAAATTTGAACAGACCAGTTACCAGCATTGAAATTTAATCAGAAATCAAAAAACTCCCCCAAAATAAAAGTCCAGGACCAGATGGCTTCTCAGGCGAATTCTACCAAACATTTAAAGACGAGGTAATACCTATTCTTCTCAAACTATTTAAAAAAAAAAATAGAATCGGAAGGAAAACTTCCAAATTCATTCTATGAGGCCAGTATCACCCTGATTCTAAAATCAAATAAAGACACCACAACAAGAGAACTACAGACCAACATTCCTGATGAACATAGATGCAAAAATCCCCAACTAAAATATTAGCAAACTGAATCCAATGATACCTAAAAAAAAAAAATCATACACCACAATCAAGTGGGATTTCTTTCCAGGACACCAATGTGGTTCAATATTCACAAAACAATCAACATGATATACCACATCAATAAGAGAAAAGATAAAAACCATATGATCACTTCAATAGATGCAGAAAAAGCATTAGACAAAGTACAACATCCACTCATGATAAAAGCCCTCTGCAAAGTAGGGCTAAAGGGAACATACTTCAATATAATAAAAGCCTTATATGAAAAACCCACAGCCAACATCATACTCAAGAGGGAAACACTGAGAACTTCTCCCCTAAGGTCAGGAACAAGACAAGGACGTCCACTCTCACCACTTTTATTCAATAGAGTACTGCAAGTCCTGGCCACAGCAATCAGACAACAAAAAAGAAATAAAAGGCATCCATCTTGGTAGGGAAGCAGGAAAATTCTCACTATCTGCAGATGACATGATACTGTATAGAGAAAACCTGAAAGACTCCACCAAAAAACTACTAGAACTGACAAATGAATTCAGTAAAGTCACAGGATACAAAATCAATGTACAGGAATCTGTTGCATTTCTATACACTAATAATGAAGCAGCAGAAAGTGAAATTAAGAAAATAATCCCATTTACAATTGCACCAAAAACAATAAAATATCTAGGAATAAATTTAACCAAAGAGGTGAAAGACCTGTACTCTGAAAACTATAAAACACTGATGGAAGAAATTGAAGATAACACAAAGAAATGGAAAGACAATCCACGCTCGTGGACTGGAAGAACATCTATTGTTAAAATGTCTACACTACCCAAAGTAATCTACAGATTTACTGCAATCCCTATCAAAATACCAAAGCATTTCCATAGAACTAGAAACAACCAACCCTAAAATTTGTATGGAGCCACAAAAGACCTCAAATAGCCAAAGCAATCCTGAAAAAGAAAAACAAAACTCAAGGTATCACAATTCCAGACTTCAAGTTATATTACAAAGCGGTAGTGATTAAAACAGTATGTTACTGGCATAAAAACAGACACACAGATCAACGGAATAGAATAGAAAACCCAGAAATAAACCCACAATTATAAGGTGAATTAATCTTCAACAAAAGAGGAATGAATATAAAATGGAAAAAGACAATCTCTTCAACAACAGCTTCGTGCAAAAGAATGAACCTGGATCACTTTCTTGCACCACACACAAAAATAAACTCAAAATGGATTAAAGACCTAAATGTGAGGCCTAAAACCATAAAAATCCTTGAAGAGAGCACAGGCAATAATTTCTCTGACATCAGCCATAGCAACATTTTTCTGGATATGTCTCCTGAGGTAAGGGAAACAAAAGCAAAAATAAACTATGGGGACGATCTCAAAATAAAATGTTTTTGCACAGCAAAGGAAACAATCACCAAAACTAAAAGGCAACCTACTGAATGGGGGAAAATATTTACAAATGACATATCCGATAAAGGGCTAGTATCCAAAATATATAAAAAATGGATACAACTTAATACCCAAAAACCAAATAATCCGATTAAAAAATGGACAGAAGAGGGATGCCTGGGTGGCTCAGTCAGTTAGGCATCCAGCTCCTGATTTTGGCTCAGCTCATGATCTCGGGGTTGTGGGATTGAGCCCTCATTGGGCTGCAGGCTGGGCATGGACCTGGCTTGGGATTCTCTCTCTCCCTCTCCCTCTGCCCCTCCTCTGCTGTACATGCACTCTCTCTCTCTAAAAAAAAAAAAAAAAAAAAAAAAATTACAAAAAAAGGACAAAAGATATGAACACACATTTCTCCAAAGAAGATAACCAGATGCTCAAGAGACACATGAAAAGATGATCAATATCACTCATCATCATGGAAATGCAAATCAAAACTATCACCTCACACCTGTCAGAATGGGTAAAATAAAAAACACAAGAAACCACAAGTGTTGGTGAGACTGTGGAGAAAAAGGAATCTTCCTACACTGTTGGTGGGAATGCAAGCTGGTGCAGCCACTCTGGAAAACAGTATGGAGGTTCCTCAAAAAGTTAAAAATAGAGCTA